GTGATGCCATGGCACTCTACCAAGGGCAACAAAGTGAGACTCTGTCTCAAAACAAAAGCAAACAAACAAACAAATATATATATATATATATATATATATATATGTATAAATAAAGAGGGCTGGTTTAGTGGCTCACATCTGTAATCCCATTGGGAAACCAAGGTGGGAGGATCACTTGAGCCCAGGAGATTGAGAACAGCTTGGGCAATGTAGCTAGACCCCCTCTCTACAAAAATGAAAACTAAAAATTAGCCAGGTATGGTAGTGTGCTGGGAGTTGAAGGTTGTCCTGAGCTATGACCAAATCACTTCACTACAGTCTGAGTGACAGAGTGAGACCTTGTCTCAAAAAAGAAAATAAAAAAGTCAAGAAGAAAAATTAGGATACTTCAAAGTACAAAAGTCAATTATCTGCAAAATTAACTGATGTGGAAAAATTTAATCCCTAATAATTCTAATATTAGAGAAAAAAAATTCTAAATTAAAAGGAAGGAAAGCCTGGGAAGAGGGTGTAAAGTATTGTCTGTCTGCATCTCTTGCTGCTTGAGAAAATCACTATTACATAGTGATCTGTTATAAGTTAGAGCTTGACAGGCTGGACATGGTGGCTCATGCCTGTAATCCTAACACTTTCAGACCCCAAGGCAAATGGATTGCCTGAGCTCATGGGTTTGAGACCAGCCTGAGCCAGAGTGAGACCTTGTCTCTAAAAGTAGCTGGCAATGTGGCAGGTACCTGTACTCCCAGCTACTCAGAAGGCTGAGGCAAGAGAATTGCTTGAGCCCAAGAGTTTGAAGTTGCTATGAGCTGTGACACCATAGCACTCTACTGAGGGCGACAAAGTGAGACTCTGTCTCAAAAAAAAAAACAAAATCAGAGCTTGACATTTCCTGCTGTGCTTGTGGTTTACGCATTCATGTCAATCACATCATGAAATCGTCGACACCATTCTTAAGAAACAAAACTTTTTTTTTTAAAGACAAAGTTTCACTCTGTTGCCCTGGGTAGAGTGCCAGCTGAGTCATCAGAGCTCACAGCAATCTCAGTCTCTTGGACTCAAGCAATCCGCTTGCCTCAGCCTCCTGAGTAGCTGGGACTACAGGTGCCTGCCACAGTGCCTGGCCCATTTTTCTTTTTGTAGAGACATGGTCTTGCTCTTGTTCAGGCTGGTCTCGAACCCATAAGCTCAGGTGATCCACCCACCTCGGCCTCCCAGAGTGCTAGGATTACAGGCATGAGCCCAGCCTCTTCATTCATTTTTCCTCTATCATAGCAGAGAGTTTTTATTACCATGTGTAATGAAACTACAGTCTTTAGCTATTTGGGTTGGTTTTTCTCCCCTAAACTAGTTGCTTATATATGTCTTCTACATCACCGCTTGCACAATCTGTCAATTTCCATACCCTATCCATATCCAAAAGGATGAGCTTTTGTCCATTTGCCAATCTCTGTACTCAATTGCTAAAGAT